GGACAGTGCACATTAATGAACATTTCTGTAAAGGTGCCAGAGTTAGCCAAGAGGCTATTTTTCATCTGTAGTCCCTGGACAGATTTTAAAAGTCAACCTAAAACACAATTAATTTTAAATAAGTAAATACAATACATTTAAAAGATGCAACAGACATTAGTGGGATACTTAAATAAAACTATTTAAAATACAGAACATTAAAACAAAACAAATAAGCTGTTAGCTCTTTAACCACCGAAAATGTGGATTTCATGGAGGATACTTAACTGGGTCCCCAAAACCAGCTTCAATCTCGTTAATTGTGTTGTTTAAATTATGAGACGTAAACTTAGCAGTAACAGGGTGTAACTGTATGCTATGGCTAAAACGTTAGCTAGCTAGCCATGGCTTAACTATTGTGTTTGACTTTAATTATACCACTATGATAGCTAGCAGTTTTTTGATGACTGTTGTAACATGTTTGCAAAATGTTATCTTCTTCACATTTTGTGATGTTTTACTATTCTGACAAACTACTGTAAATGCTTCTGTACAGGCTGTGATGCAGGTGTAACAGGAGGCTGGTTTACCTGTGACTTCATGCTGCCTGAGCTCGTTGTACTTGAAGGCTTGCTCCATTGGCTTGATGGCATTGTGGTAGATGCTCAATAGTTTCTTCATATCAGCTAAAGAGAGAAAGAGAGATAGATTGAGAGACAGGGAGAGAGAGAGACAGAGACAGAGAGAGAGAGAGCGAGAGAGGGAGAGAGAGAGAGAGAGAGAGAGAGAGAGAGAGAGAGAGAGATGTAATAATTAGGATGTAATGGTGAGAATACATTTTGGACAAGAGTATTATTAATGCCTTTGCTACCATTACTGATTACAACAGTTCCTTTGGCATTGCATGATGAATTGCCCTCATAAAGTTTATTGAATGGAGCTGAGGTGATTAGAAAGACTGCTCTGCTGCGCCACATTGGCCTCTATGAAATGAATCTTGAGTTACACATTTACACTGATTCATCACCTGCATCCAGACGTGTCTGTACACTCATAGCATAAACACATCCATACAGTACACACACTCGCACGTGACAGCCCCTGGACCTAGACATCATGAAGCAATTTTCAGAATAGTTTCGGTAGAAAATCCCCCCAAATTGTCTCAAACTTCCTTTCATTCACATGCAGACACATCTGGGTTTTTCATTGAGAAAAAAGCTGTAAACATTCATTTCAATACAGAGCTTCAGGTTTTTCTACAGCAACCTCCGAAAGACATTTTAAACATTGGGAAACACAGCAGTTATAACATTTTGATTAGTAAGGTGTAGGTTTCTCTGTGTGCTGTGCATGTATGTGTATGTAGTACCTGGGTGTATTTGTGTGTGCAAGTAAGAGTGGGTGCCAGAGAAATTGCAAATCTCATATTGTCTCACATTTATAACTTTAGGATGTCTTTGTTCCTCACCTGAGAACTCATCTGAGGGATCCTCAGTAGCCAATCGCAGTGTGTCCTCGATGTGGGAGCGGTCCCTCAGTTTACGGGCTGATGCCTCGCGCCCTGATTGGAGGAACAGGTTGTCAGTTAAGGTCGAAAGCCCCTGGCTACCGGCATGGTTACAAACAAAATTCTCGCCCTGGGTAAACAGTTTCCTGAGTTGTGAGGGACAGTGCAGGCCAACTGTTATGTCATTCATGCTGGTGGTCATCCAGCTGTCTATTTTGGTTTGTTTATTTCTGTACCAGAGGTTGTTGCTAATTCCTCTGCAGCTACACATAGTGTCATTTTCAGGGTTATGCATGTCTGAGAGAATAATATAGAGACCTTTGCTGTCATTTAATGTTAATTAAATGTAATAATATAATGTTTTCGAAGATTGTTTTTCTATGGTTTGCTTCCTCAGCTGTTCTCTTTTCCTGTACTAAAAGCTATTATCCAAATTGTTTAAGAGAAAATAGTTTTAGTGTTGCAATGTGTCTTAATCACCTGCCAAGGATTAAGATTGTATATTGATGCTTCTTTTTTCTTTTTTGTTACATTGGTTCTATCTCTGTGTAAATTATTTGTATTGAAATGTATGCCCTGCTTTCAAAATGCAGGCCATGACAGAATATTTTCCCAAAAATGGTGTTTGGACATCTCAAACTTAAACTTGAAACATCAATACAATTGTTACTCTACTTGAAATACATTAATTTGCAGAGCCAATAATTCTTTAAAACGTAAGAGATAAAACCCCTTTTCATTAAACAACCTCCAATGACTCTCACACAAGTGCAATGATTGAGATGGTGAAGGGGTTCAAATTAAGAGATGGGAAACTCTTTTAAAACTCAGCCAGCCATCATCTTTCATAGAAGGTGTCAACACCCAGGCATCAGATAATGGCGTGCTCCCTTAATTACAGAAGTGCCGACTGGATGGGGACAGATTTACTGCAACAGGATCCCTGCTACTCGACTTGTCACTGCTCGGACCCTCTGACGGGATGAAGGCAAGACGTCGGTGTAGATTTGTGTCAAAGATTTAAGTGGATGATAAGGCCAAAAATATGATTGCAACATGTATTTATATTCATCGTTGTCATATATTTAATGATAATAATGGTTGATTTAGTATTGAGTATTCTCTCTTTTGGGCAGAGCCCTAAAAGAAAGGTTAATTGTGGTTTATAAAATAACATTATTTATCAGTAGAACGGGTCAGGTCATTGAGCAACAGATATTTACCCTTATTAATACTTAGTTAGCCCTAATTCGACTAACTTCCTGTTTAGCTAAATTTTAACTCAGCAAGGACAAAATTAAATTGTATTACTTTAAAAGAATTCCCCAATGTTATTTGAATGTATAGATTTCTGATTGCCGTTGTGATTTAGCCACTGTTTGTTGCAACAGTGAAGCCTATGGCCTATTCTTTTTTTTGTTAGCCTATAGGATTCAAAATAACTTTTATCAAAGATAATCATAAATAAATCATCATACAGTTCAGAGAAGTTGTATAACCCAGTACCTTTAGTTGCAAATCTGTTACAGTTTTTCTTTTGAGATTACAGGAGAGATCCTAAACTGTAACATTAAAGAGAGACTCAGACTAATGACATACTACAAAACGAGATGGTGTTATCTTTGTGTACCTTTGGTTTTCAGCTGTGCAGGCTTCTCTGTGGTCACCTCCTCGGCCGTCACCTCCTCCACCGTCACTTCCTTCACTGTCACCTCCTCCACCGTCATCTCCTCGGCAACAGCAGGTGCTTCCTCAACAGCATCCACTGATGCCTCCTCCATCGCCTCTTCAACAGATTCTGGTGTGACATCCTCCACAACAGGCTCTGGCTCGACTTCAGGAAGAGCCTCTGTTTCTGGTTCAGGCTCTGCAATCACTTCTGGTTCTGGTTCAGGCTCTGCAACAACCTCTGGTTCTGGTTCATGCTCTGAAATGACTTCTGGTTCTGGCTCTACAACCACCTCTGGTTCTGGTTCAGGCTCTGCAATCACTTCTGGTTCTGGTTCATGCTCTGCAACCGCCTCAGGTTCCGGTTCAGGCTTTGCAATCACTTCTGGTTCTGGTTCAGACTCTGCAACCGCCTCAGGTTCCGGTTCAGGCTCTGCAATCACTTCTGGTTCTGGTTCAGGCTCTGCAACCTCCTCTGGTTCTGGTTCAGGCTCTGCAGTCACCTCTGGTTCTGGTTCAGGCTCTGCAATCACTTCTGCCTCGGTTTCTTCAAGGTCTGAGTCTGTTTGAGGAAGCTCAGCTGGTTCTGCTTCTGGTTCTGGTTCAGCCTCTGAAACCTCCTCCTCAGTTGCATCCTCAGGAGATTCCACACTCTCCTCCTCAGCGGCTGCTTCTGTCTCATCCTGGGTGTCTTCTGGTTCCTCAACTGTTTCTTCAGCAGCAACTTCCTCCTGAGGTTCACCTTCTTCCTCTCCTTCCTCAATGTTCTCCTCCTCTTCCTCAACTTCAGATGATGCAACCTCCACAGCTAACTCTTCCTCCTCCTCAGCCGCAGCCTCAGATGCTACTTCCTCTTCCTGCCCATCACTTGTTACCTCCTCTCTGGAAGCATCCTCTTCCACAGGAGCTGCCTCCCCCTCCTCTTCTTCATGCTCTGAGGCTACTGCTGGCTCTTCAGTATCTACAGCTGATGGAGGTGTGCAGGGCTGGCACAGGGCCCTCTCAGGGGCCGGGGTGTCATTGGAGGAGCTTTGGCTGCTGTGCTCCTCTGTTGTGTCACACCCACAGGAGAAGAGGTCTCCCTCCGGCTGCTGGAGCTGCAGATGCACCAGAGGCTCCTCATTGTGGACGGAGGACCCTGCCAGGAGACCCAAGAGGAGGAAACATTTGAATATGCGCTTCAATCAGCACTAAGACAAATAAGATCTCAGATTTCAAATGTAAAGTTTATCTCTGATTGGAAATAATCTGACCATCAGGATGCACCGTGCAAACCAGCTGAGTCTCTGAAGGTCGATCACCTTTGTGTGTTACGTCACTGACTTGACCAGTGTGCTCAGAACAGAGCAGATTAGATATCCAGCACCTCCTAGATTTAAGACTCACATTTCAGCTCCTTGAATGGTGACTCTAAAGCGGGGACTATTTGAAGCAGACGTACGATGGACAGTTGCGGCAGACAGTTGTTTGGCGGATCTAAAAGAAGAGTGCTGTGTGGGCAGGGTGGCTTGGAACATAATAATGTATTCATTTCCATATAAGACGTATTCATTTTTTATATTTAATATCGTTTTCTGGGGCCATTTATGTGTCACAATGCTGCTTTTGACTGACTCCCAAAACACTGGTGACTGTAAGGTCCCCTCTATACATTCTTAATGTGAAATATATGTTGACATCCTGGCGAACAGGCATCCCCATCCTTTAGAATCATACAGTAAATTATAGTTGCCATGGCTTCAAAACAATCACAGCTAAAACAGGGGACTCCCTCTCTATTACACCACATTCTTACATGTACATTAGATGCAACCACAGTGTACAGTGACCTCTGTTTAATTATAACTTGAGACTGAGGGACGCGCAGTGGTACACCGTGTGATATGAGGCCGCTAAATGTACAGTTGCAAGACAAACTATGTGAACCCTTTGGAACTACCTGGATTTCTGCATAAATTGGTCATAAAATGTGTTCT